GTAACAGTTGCTGTAATATAAATATTACATAGGTGATTATTCAAATTTTTGCTGTTGATGGGATTTGAACACCCAACCTACTACTTGGAGGGTTGACAACCTGACCACTTCACTAGGTCGCCACACCTTCGGTTATACATATTGTTCAATTATCTGAAGTAGTAAAATAATTGAGAATAAAGTTAAAAAAATCTTAAGATAGAAAAACTCCGGACAAGTAAAAAAAAAATACTTATCTATAGACCCAAACTATTGATCAAATATAAACACCTCTTTTCAATTAAGCTAATTATAGGTTGCATAAGGATTGAGATTGTTAAGTAACTGACTTACCATTTCACTAGCTTTCAATATTCTTTATATATAATATTCAGCTATTTACATAGTACCCACAAGTACTATTTAATTTAAAAAATAGAACTTTTGAATAAGATTCTAGAACTTTATACAGTGCTATACAATACTAATTTGCATATTAATTTAAGTAACCTACTTAGTTCAGTTCTTAATTTTTATTAAACTTTCTGACTTTTTGATATTTTTTATTTTTATTTTTATTTTTTTTCCCTTAGGTAATCATGCTAGTACTTTATTAAGTACTATTGCAATTACATAGGTGTACCTAACAACTAAGTCTAGTATCATCCAGCCATCCTAATAGCACCTAAGTGCAACCTGCCACATTACTTTAAACAGAAGTAAGTTGCTTGTCTGACTACTTAAAGTTCATAATGAAAGGTCTTTACCCTTTTATAGCAAGTCTCAAAATTGTCTTCCTGGCTTCATCTTTGATTTGTTTTTTTTTCTTTTTTAATTATCAAGCAAGAGGATTCTATAATCTTTGTCTAAAGAACAACAGAATATAAGAAAAAAAAACTAAAAAAAAAATAAAAAAAAAAGAAGGAACTAACTACAAAACCTAAATGTAAACTAAAAGAAAAAAGAAAAGATAAAAAAAAGAAGGACAAAGAAAAGGAACAAAAAAAAGCATGAAGGCACTATTTTTGCCTATGCTTGGCTTTAAAAAATTCTATATAATACTAAATAAAGAATACTTTATATTTGCTTTATCTCTGTATTATAATATATTCCATTTGTTATATAGACAAAATGATCGAAGTTTTTATTTTTCTCTTGAGTTTGACATATGTTATCCATCATAGGTCTGATACTTATTTTGTAGTTTTCTTTTGACTAACATTATTAATTTAAAAAGATAAACAGTATTGATCCTTTGGAGGAAGTATGCCAGATTTCCTACTTTTTGGTAAAAATTTTAAGAGAAAAATCCAATAGTGAAGACAGAAAGGAAAACCAACTTGAGAAGAAGTTGTAAGAGTTATGCTATATAGAATATTATGTTAAAACAAGTAACTATTTAGGCCTAAGCCCTTATAGCACTTGACAAAACTCCAAAGCTTATCTACTACTTCTTTGCTTGATAGTACTTGTGTTTTACTAATGGACTTTGCTTACAAGGGTTCAAGTTTTTTTTAGCTCTTTTAGTTACAACCAAGCATGCAGTGAATAGCCTTCCTAGTTATTTCAAAGTAGAGTTTTAATATATTTAAATATAATAACTATATAGTTTTTGTAGATCAGACTTTTTGGAAAAAGTTGGTGTAAAAGATCCTCAGAAAGAGTTTGTGACTTTTTGATATTACTAGTTTACTAACAACATTATAAACATAAATTTTTATAAATAAATCAATATTTGTACTTCAAACTTAAATATATATGTTTCTACTACTATGTTGCTAAATATTTAAATTACATCTGCATCTGTTTTTTGTTAATTTTTATAGCATTTACCATGTAAATATTATTTGTTAATAATAGTTAAATACATGTATATGTGTACAAATAGATTTATACTAAAAAGCAAAATACAAATGCATAAAAAAAAACAAAGTTTATGAAAATATCACAAGTCAATTATTAGAAAAACTTAGCTGATAACAAATTGGTAAATATTGTAGATTTAAAGATAGAAGCTGGACATTCTTATTTGACTTAAGCTATACTAACATAATATGATTGTATTTATGCTATTGCAGAATAACAGGTTTTTTATAATGGTAAAAAAAAAAGACTTGCAGTAGGATCTGCCAAATATTACAACTAGCACATTGAATATGTCTGATGCCAGTTGTGCATATTTTGATATATAAAACTAGTAATTCTATGAACATTCTAGTTTTATGTATAATAAAACATCTATAAGTCATTTAAAATTATATCTGAATATATTACTATACATTTCTTCTTGTTTAAACAAATAGTCTCTTATAGTAATTTTAATCTCTTGCCACCTTTTCTCATCTTTTAAAATAGCTACAGCTAAAGATCTAAATCTACAATGACTATTATCAATAGAATTATGAACTTGCAAAATTATATCTTAAGGAATTTGCAGACTAGTATATACTTTAGGCAGATGTGATGCAACTATATTATTTAAATTTTGTTTAACAATATTTTTTGGTGATCGACTATATATATGCTTAATTACAGTTTTATTATAATTAGTTTATATTATTAATACTAGTTGTTCTAAGAGTGTTTTTTGTAAAATTTTGTTTAATAGAAGATTTCTTTAAAAACATCTTGTTTTCTTTGTCTTCATCTATACTATAAATATAATTGTTATTTGGTGGCCAACTATGTGAATACTTAATTACTAGCATTTGAATTTTATCATAATCTGCTATATTTTTAATACTGATTGTTTCAAAAATAGTCTTTGTGTTAGTTTGGTCTTTTTGTAAAAGTTTTGGTATTTCTTTATACTTAATAATATATTCTGAAGCTTGTTGTATTAAATTTAAAAAAGCATTATAGTGATGTATTGAAAGTTATTCAAAATTTATATGATATAAGAAGAGGCAGCATGTTTTATTTCTATATGATTATGCATATTTCAATGCTGATAGACCTCATTTGGTGACATATAGGTATGTAAATAAAATAAATAAATAGCAATAATATAAGAACATAGAGTTCTAGTTTATCATAAATGCAAGCATGTACAAGTGCTAGATGATGCAAGATTTAATATACATGTTTTATTGGATTTTTTATCAATTTGCATTATATTGTAAATATTATTGGCACTTTCAAATAACTTATAGACATTAAATTTAGCAGATCCTTTTCTGGTTTTATAAATGTTTTAAATACAAATTATGAGAACACTAATTTTAGTCTTTTTAGACCAGTATCTGTTCATTATGTATATGTTTATTTTGATGTATAAATGTTTCATATAATTTTCAACACCTTTTAATTTGCTGTGCAGACTCTTAACATATTAACTTAACCTTATGTTAAAATTTATATTACTCTTTATATAAGAGACAAGCCAATCTTTTTTATACAGCATCTATGTTATATATATATATGCTTTTGCACTTGGAAATTGATTCTATAATGAGTTGATCACTTGCTCAATTTGGTTTTCCTGAAGATTGCTATAGACAAGTTTTTGAATGACCTTAGTAAATTCATCAATATCAATATTCTTTTGAAGTTTATCCCTAATATTCTTAAAAATGTGTCACATGCATAGCTGATGTCTTGCACAAGAAAATATATCACCAATTGCTTTTATTAGGGCCAATTCCTGATTAGTCATAATTATTTCACTTGTGCACTTCCAGTAAACATGATTAGAACTTGACTTAGTTGTTGTAGTACTCAACTATAAAAATCTTGTGTTTTTGAATATGCAGGTACAAATGCTAATAGATATGTAGACCCAAATTGATCAATGCTACAAATAGCAATTGAAGGCATTAAAAACCTGTTGTTCACCATATGTATATGTGAGAAATTAAAAAGTTAAAAAAAAAATAAAACCTAAAAAAAAAATAAAATAAAACAAAACTTATTTGTTTTATAGATAACATCAATAATTAAAACATCCTTTTTTATAGAAAATTCTAAAATTGAATTATAATATGCCCAAAAAATTGTCTGAATAAACTCACCATCCTAATTTTATTTATTATTATATGCAGTCTTTAGTGCAATATTGTCTACAATGCTTTTATTATCATACAAACTTTTAAGAAGTAATTTGATCTTATTTAAACCTTGCAACTTATACTTATACTGACAGCTTATTGCATTATACATATCAGGTTTGTAAATATATCTTGAACTAACTGAATTTAATATTGAAAAAATGGCTTTTGTTCTAAGTTCATTATCATATAGCTTTTCTACCAAATTCAGATCATTTTTATTAAGTTTCTAAACAACAGTACTGAATTTTGTTGCATCCAAGCAAGTATTATAATTATGCTCAAAATGTGACTTAGTTATAACAAATTTTTTAGTACACTTGTAATAGTTTATACCAATAGCAAATGGGCATCCAGTATGCTTTGTAGTATTGTTATTAAAATTTTTTGTTGTTCTTCCTAGTATTATAACAGTATTTGTTTGCATTGTATATTTTTTGATTGTTGTATGAACTTATTCAAAGATATCAAAGTCATATCTACATTCAACAGTGCTGTTACAAGATTTAATGAGTAAAACTTGTTAATTAAAGTATTTCACATCCTGTCTACAAAAATACAAAATAAAGTAAAAATTATTAGAACAACAGATTTTAATTAAACCAGTTATTTTTTTTTTACAGAAAGGAAACTTGCATCACTCTTTATTGCAGCTTCTTTATTCTAAATCAGTTATTTTATTCATGCATTCTAATTGGGAAAAATCTTGTAAAAAGATAGGTGTGAAAATTTATCTAATTCAGATATTTTATATAAACAGAAAAAGTTCTGTCAGAAATTTACTTCACTTTAATTATTTTCTAATTCAGTTATTTGCTTGTTATAATCAGGAAAACTTTGTATTAAAGTAGATGTGGAAAGTTTATCTGTATTACAATTGCTTAAGATTTGTAAAATCATAAAAAAAAGAGTTGATTAATTAAAAAGAGTTAAATACTTCTAAGGTAGTTTTAAATTTATTTTAAAAATCATTTATATTTAATCATAACAAAGAGTTATTCTTAAAAAATTGAGTATTTATAAGGCTGCAAGCAATTAATTATGTAATAATAATGGTCTAACTTTAACTAGGATCGATTATAAAAAATAGTAAATTTTTATTAGTTTATCTGAATTGAGGTACACAATATTATACAAACTTAGGTATATAAAAAATTGCTGTATTAAATAATGAGAATGTACATAATGTTTTTATATTTAAATTATTAAATTAGTTGAAGTTAAAAACAAATAAATTGCATGTAAAAAGTTTATTGAGTTTGTAATTTTTTTTGTAAAAATATATATATATATATATATGATATTTCTAGATTATAATAAAATAATAGAAAAAAAATTAATAATAATAATAATAATAATAATAATAATAATAATAATAAAATATATATATATAATAATAATAAATTCATCTAAGATTATAGATTACAATAAGAAAATATAAGTGTATTATTATATCTTATATTGTATTGCTTAGCTATATCTTGCAATGCTGATATGATCATAAAGATTAAAGTAACAAAAAAGAGTATGAAAGAGAAATTGCTAGCAGTATAGACTATAAGTATTTATCCTGTTGGAATTGAGAATTGTAAGGTTAAATTAATTTTGTTTGTACCAGCTAAAGAGAAAAACAAAGATTTGGTATTTCAAGCAATTTTTGAAAAAGATAATTATTTTTCAGTTAGTAGTAAAATTATACTAAAATATTATAATAGTAATATTAGGCCAAAGATAAATAATAAGTATTATTTCAAGTTAGATAGTATTATTTTTAAACATTTGTTTAGTTAAGTAAATTTAATAAGCTCAATATATTAAATATTTGAAAATTAAGATTTTAGATTATTATTATTGTTATAATTATTTACTTATTTAACATTTAATAATTAATACTGATAGAATTTTAGATTATTTAATTTGTTATTTTTTGAATTTGATTTAGATAATGGTTTTGACTTTGACTCATTTTAAGATTTTTAATAAGGTTTCAATATTAAATAAATGTTCTTTAAAAGTTTCTTTGGTTAGAATAGTTAAGGAAGTTTTACAGTTTAAAAATAAAGTAAATGCTTATATTAAAGTTATAGTAACAGATTATTCTTATAAAGATTATACTTTTAGTGTTACTGTTGTTTTTAAATATTCAGATACATATTTTAAAGGTCTGGCAATCTTATTTATTCAGAAGAATCCATGGTTTTTGTTATTGGTTAGATGAAAATCATAGAAAATGTTTTATATATTTCTGATTAAGAAGTTACTTTGGTTGATACTTAATCTAATAGTAAGAAAAGAAAGTATAATATTAATAACAAAAAGATTGGATAGGTGTTAACAAATTCAGCTTAGTTAAAGTTTTTATCTGTTTACAAGAATATTTTTAAAGATGTAAATTTAGATGAAGAATTTAAGGTTGAGTATATAAATAATTATTTAGTTATTTAAATATTGTTGATATTAAAATGATAGATAAATACAAATCTAGAATGTTTTAAAAAAAGAATTACAAACAGGTTCTAGATATAACAGCTAGTGTAGAACCTTTAAACTGACTACTTAAATTAGATAACAACTAAAATTATATAAATAGCTAGTTATATACTTTTTTTATAGTTGTTTCTTATAACTGTTGCAATTAGTATTATGGCCTAAACTGAAGCTTTTAAACAGCAAAATTTTTGAGACTTTTGAAATCTTGTTTTGCCCAAGGTGCCAAGTTCAAAATATTTGAAACTGGATAAAATATTAAAAAGCAGATTAGTGTTCCTATAAATCTGAACTGAACTTTGGTCAAGTTCAGGTTCAATATATTTGATTCATGTTTAAACTAAACTAGAAATACTAATTTGAAATTTTTTTATCAACAAATCAAAAATTAAGCATCTTTTCTTTAAATTTAAAAAATAAAATAAAAGATAAAAAGTAAATATATGTCAATATAATGTATTTTTATATGTAAAACAGAGTTACTTAAAAAATAGAGATAGCATTAATTAGTAAAATTTTGAGAATAATAATATTTTTTATAATTTTATTAATAAATTTATAAAAATTGTTATAATTCTTGAAATTTTACTAATTAATTCTATTTTATTCTTTAACTAACTTTGTTCTATATATAAAAATATATCATATTTTCATATATATATTTTATAATTTTTAGTTCTAAAGAAAAGATATTTAATTTAAATTTTTGATAAAAAAATCTAAAATTAAGCATCTTTTCTTTAAATTTAAAAAATATAAAGTAAATATATGCCAATATGATGTATTTTTATGTCTAAAACAAAGTTACTTAAAGAATAAAGATAGACTTAATTAGTAAAATTTTAGGAATTATAACAATTTTTATAATTTTATTAATAAAATATAAAAATTATTATAATTTTCAAAATTTTACTAATTAATTCTATCTCTATTCTTTAAGTAACTTTGTTCTAAACATAAAAATATATTATATCAACATATATTTACTTTATATTTTTTAAATTTAAAGAAAAAATGCTTATTTTTAGATTTTTTTATTAAAAATCTAAAATTAAGCATTTTTTAATTAGAACTAAAAATTATAAAATAAATATATGCTAATATGATATATTTTTATATTTAGAACAAAAGTTATTTAAAAAAATAAAAATAGAATTAATTAGTAAAATTTCAATAATTATAGCAATTTTTATAATTTTATTAATAAAATTATAAAAAATATTATAATTTTTAAAATTTTATTAATTAATTCTATCTTAATTCTCTAAGTAAATTTGGTTTATACATAAAAAATATATATATAATATTGAACCTGAACATGTTTATAAACTTTAAACTGAATCTGAACTGAACCAAATTTTAAGTTCAAGTTCATTTTAGGTTTATAAATTTTAAGTTTAGTTCAGATTTATGTTTAATGATCTGCAAAATTTGAAGTTCAGTTTAGGTTCAATAAACTTGGTTTATGAATTTAAACTAAACTGAACTAATATAAGAATACTAAACCAAATATAATATCTGAAACTAGATTAAATTTTTGAAATTAAATAAAATATTTCAAACTAAACAAAATATTTAAAACTGTATAAAATATCTGAAACTAAGCAAAACTAAGTAAAACTAAATTATTTTCACTAATTCTTAGTCTATAATTACTAAATATTCTAAAATATATACTACTTTCTTAAATCCTAACAAGCTTTTCAAATTTAGCTCATAGCCTATATGATATATTCTGCTTAATATTATTAAATCTTATAATCAACAAATTAACTTTTACAAAATACAAGCTTACTCTAATAATACTTTTAATAACTTAGCAGACTTATTAGCAAAACAACATAATTTATTGCCTATACTATACTTTAATTATACAAACATTTACAATCTATATTATATAATTTTCTAGAATCAATATTTTATTAAACATCTAATAAAAGTTTTATCAAAAATATCTGTAGAGTCTATGTCTTAGCAATATTGTTCTCTCAAAAATATAACATGAAATGGAACTCTTTAGTTTTCCAAATTGACTAGAGATCAACTTGGCTATATTTTAACTATAACCAAAAACCAACACATAATGTCACTAACTTTAAACTCAATTATCTTAAATTATTCAAAATTAAAACTTTATTAAATGAACTCCCTATC